TTTTTTTATTTTTTTATCTCAGATTTTGTCTGTCACATTGACTGCGTATATTTTCTTACATTTGTCTAAAACAATAAAAAAAACAACCAGTGCAGCTTTAAAGCAAAACCCCACTTAATGAGTCTGTGCATCTCTTAAATAACATCAGATAAATAAGTTTATAGGCCAATATTATAAATATAATGGGATCTACATGTAAAGAAAAGCAAAACACAGCGATAAAGGCTGTAGGACAGTTTTTATGCTGGCTGAGGCAGATAGAGGTGATTCTCAGAGGGAGATCTGTGGAGTTTGTTGAGCTTTTTCTTTTTTTCAGAAAGTGGAGCGTGATAAGCTGCACTTATTATCACTGTCTGACCCTCATTGTTTGTTTTTTGTTAGGCTCAAAGAGGATTACTATTTTACTATATCCATTTTTTTTGTCCTCATGAAGTTTGTCAAAAAAAAAAATTCTCTGAAGGAGAGTGATAAGTTTAGCTTTCTATTGCCCCTCTTTGTTTTAGTCTCAAAGAAGATAACAATTTTAACTGTTTTGAACCCCTATCATGGGTATTCTTTTTTGTGTGATTGACTGTTTATTGATTGTTTATACACGAGACTGTCCAGCCTGCTATATATGCACTGTGTGACTCCAAACCGCGTTGTTTGCTGTGTGAATGACAGACTTTTTCCTCAAACTGATGTGTATTGCTTTGTAACGTTCTCTTTGTCAGACCTATGAAATTACCGCTGAACTGCTGCGTAGTCCAAGTAGAATATCTCAGTTGGAGTTATGTAAGCCCTCTGCAGATAAAGTGTCAGCTGTGTTCATTACCATTAACTCTCAATGAGCACCACAAAAACCACAATCTCCTCCCACACGCTTTTCTGTTGGATCGGAGGCACGCTCCATGGCAGGCTTCTCCAATGTACTGCTGTCCTTCTCCCGGTCAGTAGTAGCCTCTCCCCCACCCTTTAGGTTTTTGTTTCCTTGGCAGAGTTTTCTGATCTTTTACCATACTCCTTGGATCCTAAGGAGTAAGCTTAGCAAACTTTGGTCAGCCATACCCTCTCCTCACCCTGGCACTATTTCCCCGGCATATTCATCTGAACTTCTACTGTGCTTCTTTGGATCTGCCTTATCTCCCGCTCCAGTGATCTGTCTTTCCAGTGGGCTCCTCCGATCTACTGCTCCAGAGGGGGCCATGTCACTCTCTCCCCATGTTCTCACACTGATTCCCCGCTGCTTCCGTCTGAGCTCAGTCTCCTCTTTCCTCTGTTCGTCCCCGTTTTGCGCACTCCTGTTGCCGGTCGCTGATTGAGGCCTACCATTTCAAAAAGGTCGATGTCCAAGCACTGTCAATTGACCAGGGCAAGCCTTAGGTTGAAATATAAACAAGGAAGATTGGTGCAAAATCTGTCCCATTATACTAAATATATAAAGTGGGATAGAACAGTGATTTTCAACCTTTTTTTTAGCACATTTTTTACATTTATAAAATCCTCAGGCACACCACCAGCCATATGACACAAAATGAAGCACTAACGCAGTACATATAGATATAGTTAATAATATAGTTTCTAAATGTATTTATATTCACTTGGTGTGAAACCTGGGCCTGTGTCAATCAACACAAAAGGGATATCATGTTAGGAATAGTAGAAAGACACAAAACACTTCTTCAACTGTTCTCAGTCTCTCTCTCTGTTTTTAGTGTTTATTGCAGTCAAGCTTGACAAGATCAGCTCATGTAGATATGTGGTTGAAAATGGGAGCAATCTCAAAAGAGCTTTGTTGGCCAGAATGGGGAACTCATTGGCAACAGATAACCAAACACTGTTTAAAGGAAGATGGGATCTGTTTTGGTGGTCTTAGGATCTGTTGTCTCTGTTATTCGCAGTTTATGTGGTTCTATTGGCTTCATCAGGGCGTGATCTACAGCTCTCACTGGAATGCTTTGCAGCCGAGTATGAAGCTGTCAGCGTGAGGATTAGTGCCTGCAAATCTGAGACCATGGTCTTGAGCTGGAAGAGGGTAGAGTGCCTTTGAGGATGTACTGCCCCTAGTGGAGGAGTTTATGAATCTTGGGGTCTTGTTCACTAATGAGGGGAAGATGGAGCGAGAGATCAGCAGGCTGACTGGAGCCAAGTCTGCTGTGAAGCAGGCACTGTACCAATCTGTTGTGGTGAAGAGAGAGCTGAGCCAAAAAGCAAAGCTCTCGATTTACCGGTCGATCTACGTTCCTACCCTCATCTATGGTCATGAGCGTTTGGTCATGGC